AGGCGGCGTTCAAATGGGGCTCTCGCCTCCGCGCCGTGAACACTCGTCCTGAACGCTTGCATCATTCATAAGGATACAAGGAAGCGTTTTCAAAATGGGGCTCTCGCCCTACAGTCAACCCATACATTAGGGACACACGATACGGGTGCAAGGGCCTTGGAAGGCCATGTCGACAAGGATTGGCCGAACAGGATGCAAAGGTAACCCTGGAAAGTCGCTCATCTTTACTATGCGGGTTGACTGTAGCGCCGCGCCCATTGTTTTCAAAAGATTGCAGCAGTCACGAGGGCGGAGGGTGGACTCCTCTGCAAAACGGGGCTCTGTCGCTTCGGCGCCGAGCGCACACTCGTGACAAAAACGCATGTAGGAGCTGCGCGGACGAAGGGCGCTGCCACTTCAAAATGCGACACGCAGCTGCTTGAGGCCTCCCTTCACACGCCGGTCCTTTTCCGGCGCGCCGGTCCTCCTCGGGTCCTCTTCCCCAGGGGGGAGGAGTCCCAGGAGGGGGGGAGGGGAGTCAGATACGCATCGGTCCCTAGGGGTTCTCCTCCCCCTCCCCTCCCCTCTCCCACGCCGGTCTTCCTCCAGTCCTCCTCCTCAGGTGGGGGGGGGGCTTAAGGGGGAGTTTTTTTTTTTTTTTTTTTTTTTTTTCCCTCCTCCTCCTCCTTATCTCCGCCTCCTCTTCCTCCTCCTTCTCCTCCTCCCCCTCCTGGTCGTCGACGATGTCTTTCAGGGTCGGCGGCACCGGCCGTCAGGCCTTCACAATAAGGTCCATGAGGGCTCCCGGAATAGTGAACACGAAAAGGTGGCGCATGTGAAGGCTGTCTTCCGTTTCCTCCTCCTCCTCTTTTTCCTAGACGGCGTCTCGGAGCAAGCAGTTGAGGGAACGTCTTGCCCGAAGGGTGACAAGGCTCTTTCGCAGGCCCGGGGCAGGGGGGTGGCCGAAGGCGAGCAAAACAAAATCCCACATCTGAGGGAGGGCGGGGGCACATTCTGCATGCCATACTTCACGGAGCTCTTACATTTCACTGCACGTGCACGGGGTGTCTAATAATAAGAATATTCGAAACTTTTGGCCGAGCCAGACAGATCTGTTTGGTCGAGCTGCTGGTAGAAGAGAATTGCAAAAAGCATGAGCCCTTCTTATCTTTAGATTTGCTGTTTCGCAGTGCGGACACCGTGTCTTCAACGGCAGGGCCCCACGACGAACATTTTGGGAGTGTTGGTCTTGACATGATCAGATAATGTGCAGGTGCAGCGGTTTACATATTCTTGGGCATTTGTGGCCTCGCCAGCACTCACCGGGCCACGCAAAACCCGACGGGCCACACAGACACAGTCTCTCTATTTTGACAACGACCCTGGTCCATCCGTGTACCTGTTGCGAATGTCAAGCTTCAGGGTCGTAGTTGGTGGGGAGTTCTAAAGCGAAGCCCTCAACCCGCCCTGTGTGAGCTCCATTTTGAAACAAAACATCCGCCATATGTCCTTTTAGCTGTTCCAGGATTTGAACAATAATGTTTGCGGCGCTAAGGCAACAAGCCCATTTTGAGAAGAAGCCGCTTTCCATCCTTGTGACGATCGCAAGCTTTTCAGATGAATGCTCGCGGCGGAAAGTCCGCCCTCTGTCCTCGTAACTGTTGCAAGCGGGCGAATGTGCGCGCCGCTAATGCGGCCGCTCCATTTTGAAAATTACCCTCCTCCATCTGTGTATGTGTTGCGAGCTGTGAGGACGAATGTGCGCGGCGCTTAGACGAGCGCTTCATTTTGAAAACGACCCCTTGAGTCGTGCAGCGGCTGCAAGTTTGAACGATGGGGAGGACGAGGAACGAGGAGCGCGGAAGGCGGACGGGGAGGAGGAGGCGCGTTCTCGGCCAGATTATTTCTGAAGGCGGGAAGGAGGGGGAACGAGGAGGAACTCGGCGAGGACGCGCAGGTGGACAAAAGGGGAGGAGGGCAAAGAGTACGAGCTAGGATCAGAGTAAACCTGGGATTCGTCAGCTATGCTGCAAGATCCCCCCTGGCCCCGAGTCCTTAACAAGCATTCCTCCTATGTGTGGGAAGTACCCCCTTTGAAATACTGATGTCAGTGATGTTCGGGCGAGATCCTCTTTCCGGTGATAGTCGGTGTGTGCGTTGTCTCCCTTTCGCCTCTTCCTCCTTCGTCTCCAAAATAGCGCTGAAAAACAAATCGGGCGAGATCCTCGGTTTGAACATGCCGTCTTGCGTCCTGATGGCTTTACGGCGTGCCAGAGCAGCGGATCCTACAGGAGGACGTGTCCAGCGAGAGCCCCGCTGTTGAAGGCAACCGTCCCTGCGCATCTCCACGCGTTGAGGCCGGCCGTCCTTCTTTGCAGACGAGCCGCCCTCTTTCCGTACTGCCGCCAGAGACTTTCACGGCGACTTTCTGTGGCGCTATGGTGAGAGCCATATTTTGAAAGCGACCCGCCCACTGTCCGTGTATTTGCCGGAGGCTTCTACGACGAACGTACGCGACGCGATGGCGGGGGGTGCAGCATTTTGAGGACCATCCAGTCTCCATCCGCGTGAATTTACGCGGCCGTAATGCGAGTGTCACATTTTGAACACGACCCGCCCTCTATTCTTTCAAACTTCAGTGTGCAGGATCGTGATGGCGAGGGAACCTCATGCGAAGAAGCGCCAAGCCCGCCCCACTGACGCGCCCAGCGGGGCGACGAGGAGGAGTCGTTGAAAAGGGAGAGGGACGGATAAGCAGGAGGAGGAGGAAGAGGAGGCGGGGGATGAGGAGGATCTTTTTGGAGCGCCATGGAGAGCCCCAGAGACTTCTGGAGAGTTCTGGAGAGCTCCAGAGGCATACCCCCCCGAAGGACACTACCGGAAGCATCTTCGCCCGTCCCTCCTTCCCCCTCCCTGCCCCTTCGCCCTTCCCCCCCCTCTTTCTTCCTCCCCCCCCCTTCGATCCAATGCAAGACTTGCCAGGGCAGGCTGCCCGCGCAGTGCTCGGCGGTTGCGCCCTGCCTTCCCCGGCCTGCGAGATCCTCCTCCTCCGCAGGAGCCCTCCTCGTTGACAACTCGCCGTTCTCCAGGGCCTTCCTGGACCGGGCGGTGCAGACGCTCCTCGACGTGCCACGGGAGAATTGCTCCACGGGGGAGCTGAACGAGTGGAGCCTGGACCTCGCGAGCTGCGCCTCGCGCCCCGCCCCCGCCCCCCCCCCCGCCTCCCCCTCCCTCCTCGCTCCCCCCCCGCTCAGGCGTTGGCCCGTCAAGGGGACCGTGGGGTGCGCTCCCAGGGAGCGCGGGCCCCGCCCCCCTCGCCCGGCTGACCCCGCACGTGCCGCGCGGCCGCCCGCAATTGCTGCCGCCGCGCGCCCGTGCCGCGGACGCCGCCTCGCCCAGCACGCGCCGGCGCAGGCCTGAGCCTGCCTGGCACCGACGTCCTGCGGCTACGGCGGACTCACGCCCGCACGCCGGTACGCATCGCTACAGCAGACCGACTACTACGGGCCCATCACAGCGCTATGTCACGCCCATGGCAGAGACAGCCCGACTCAGGCTCGTCGCAGCCCGCCTCCTCGTCGGGGCAACAGTGGCAATGTGGTCAGTGTGGCACTCACAACTGGCCCAACGCGCGCATGTGTGCATGGTGCTTCCCCCCTCAGCCGCCAGCCCGTGGACGTGGAGGGAAGTCGCGCGACCGCTCGCACCCTCGCAAGGCGCAGCAGTCGCAACCCGAGCAGCCCCAGTCCAGCTCCCAGCCTACCCCGCCAGGTGGGCCAGGTCCTGGAAGACGCGGAGGAGAACCGCAGAACGGGGCTGCTGCGAGCCTGCCTGGCTTCACGCTGGGCATCTCGCCTGCCATGCCGCAGGAGGCCCAGTCCCACGCGGCATGGGTGGAGCCGCCGTCGGACCCGAAAGAGCTCGCGGCCCACCGAGTGCAGTTGAAGAAGAATCTAGAGGCCCTGGAATGCCAGATCAAGTCGCAGCAGGCTTTGAAGGCCAACCAGTCCCGCCTCAACGAACTGACGGACGAATCTTCTGTCATTCTCTACCTGTTCATCCACGCCTACCCGTCCAAGGATCGGGTTCAAAACCAGGACCGCTACATCGAGCGGGCCAAAATGCGGGTGCAGGACGCTGTCGCCTCCGAGGAGGCTGCCAAGGCAGCCTTGGCCACCGCAGCCGCATCCCGAGCTGCCTTGCAGGAGGACCTGGACAAGGCTCAAGCAATTCATGCTGGCTTCAAGGTCATGCAGGAGCAGGGGGAGGCCGAGGCGGATGCCAAAGCCCAGGAGGCGGCAGCCGCAGCAGCACAGGAGACTGCATCTGCGCCGCCGTGGCGGCCGCAGCCCAGCCAGCCCAGCCCCTTCATGGAGGTCGACCGCGGGCGCCCGATGGCCATGGTGACGCCGCCCAGCCCGTTCTTGACAGCCATGGGCGCCTCGGCGGCGCAGATGCCGCTCGTGCCCCAGCAGGCGCAGCAACAGGCGCCCCAGGCAATGCCGCAGGTGATCGCGCAGCTGCAGGCTGGCCAGAGTACTACCATGGCGACGCAGCTCTCGCAGTTGGCTCAGACTCTTGCATCGATTCAGACGGCGCTGGCTGGAGGTTCTCCGCAGGCGCGCCCGCAGCCGCTGGCCGCTGGGGCCCCTGGTCAGTGCCCAGCCGAAGCCGCGGCCGCGGCGCCTGCAGCGCCTGCCGAGGAGATGGGCGCCGACGGCCTCCCGGAGATGTCATTGCAGGAGCTCAGCGCCATGCGCGAGGCCGCGGGCCTGAAGGTCGGCGTGCCGCACCTGAAGTCCCACCCGCTGCTGCCAGGGCAGATGCCGCCCCCCTGGCCAGTTCAGGCCACGAGAGCATCGAGGCGAGGAGCGCCCGAGGCTCATCCCGACGAGCCCGCCGAGAAGAGCCAGACCCTTCCGCGCGCTGGGACGGACGGAGTCGACGTCGAGGTGCCGCCCGACGACGCCGCTGCGGCGGCGGCAGCAGGGCAGCAGCATTTTCACAACCCGAGCGGGGCCCAGCAGAGTTGAAGCACTTCGCTTCGCAGGACTCGAGGGGGGGCAATCAAGAAGAGCTCTATTCGGGAGCCACGCCATCTACTCCTCTGAATGGAACTGCCCCCACCAGAGGATGCGTATACAGTCCTCTCCCGGATGCCCAATTGGTCCATGAGTTTCTCTTCCAGGCTTGGGGCGCCCCACTCGACAGCAGTCTGGCGGATGTGGCACCTTTCCTGCATTCTTCTACCGTTCAGGCTCTTCTAGGATTGTATCCCATGACCGACTTAGATAGCTGGTGCAAGATCCATATCTTTTTGGATGGATCTGGAGGGTGTCGCTCGGGGCCAGATCGCGACCTGTTTGTCCCTGGCCGCGCATTTCATGCGGAGAAGGGCCTACCTAGCTGGGGCTTCGTCGTTTTGGCAGAGGACGTCCACGAACGGGTCGCCATTGTTGGTTGCGCCGCTGCTACTTTCGAGGGCCCGGACCTGTCTCCCGATGTATTTTCTTTTATGGCTGAACTACTGGCGGCCCAATGGGCCCTGGCTTGGCTTTTGCAGCTGGGGGCTCTGGATTATTGGGGGTATATGTCTGCGTGGGGACAACGTGGAGATTCTTAAGGTACTAGACGGTGGTGCCACTCCAGGCTCTCTTGGGAACCAACGCCGTCTCTTGGATGCCCTTTAGAAAATTACGCGTATGAGGGCCCGCAGCTGCCGTGTTTTCCGCGTTGCAGGACATCAGGCGCAGCCGTGGAATGAGTTTGCGGACGCGCTCTGTGCTCTAGCATCGGCGCGCCTATTTCAGTTTCGGTAGCTGGCCACGGGCTGGAGGCATATCGAACGGCATTTAGAGGCGCTAGTATGGGCGTGGCTGGACATCGGCTCCGCTCCTGGTTCGAAGGCAATTTTCTCCGGCCCCAGGTATCGTGCTGAACGAATCCGTGCCGTCTTCTTTCTCTTTGAGGGACTTGGCCCCCCCACTGGAGCGCGAGGGTCCAGGGGTCAAAACCGAGGGTCAAAACGCGGAGTCAGGAGGGCCACGTTTGACTCGAGCCCATACCGTGGTTGCCGCCAGCGTTCTCACGCTGGATCCCAGGGCCCATCGGTCGGCCAAAACCACGGGCTTATTCCTACCTGGGCGGATGGCTTACATTGGGCACACAATGGCGTCCTCTCGGGTACTTTTCGCTGGTGCGGTTGAGACTAGATTTCCGCGGTCTGGCACTTCCAGGGTTCGGGGCTATCACGTCATCCATTCCGCGGGGGACCAGTATCGGCGTTTCGGATGCTCCTTCTGGATTAACACTACCATTGCGATTGTTGGCTCCGTGCGCTTGCTGCCTAGCTAGCTGCCTAGGCACCGCAAAGTGCTTTATGCGACGCCGAGGGTGCTCGTTGTGGCGATCAGGTGTCAGCAATTTTCTCTCAACGCTGTGATTGGGCGCGGCCCGCGCAGCGGAGCGGGTCAAGAGGCCCTCCGTAAGTGGTGGCAGGATCTTAAAGACAGGCTACGCCGAGTACTTGATGCCGCCGTCCCTGAGTTGTGGTTGATCGACGCCAATGGCCGAGTTGGATCCCGTGCCTCAGAGGCCATCGGAGGATGCCAAGCTGAGCCAGAGAATCCTCCTGGGCAACTCTTCCACGACCTGATGTTTGATAGAAGGCTTTGGGTGCCAGCTACGATTTTGCCATCGACGCATTCCGGGGCGACGTGGTTTCCTCCTGCGGGCCAAACAACTACTGGATGTGTCTCAAGGCAAACGTTTCGACTACATCTGTTGTTCCAGGGATTGCCAGGTGGACTCGGCCACTGTTTTCTATTCCCTGGACCTTACTGTTGCCATCGTGGACCATAAGGCTGTCGGCGCCGTTATCCGCTTCCCCCTCGCGTCCAAGGCCAGCAACGTGCTTTCGTGCTTCCCCAAGATTGCGTGTGATCCCTCGGCGTTTGACGACCCCGCAGCACGGGCCAAGTTCGCCAGCTTTGTGGAGAGCTACGGGCCGAAGCCATCCTTTGATGTCCACGTTAACGACCACTGCCAGGAGGTCGTTCAGTTTCTGCACCATGCGCTGCCGCTCGCCTTCCCTTGCCGCGCCACGGAAAGTGGACGCAAACCTAGGCAATCTTGGATCACCCTGTCTACTCCGGAGGCCATGGATGTCCGTACTTATTGGCTACTCTGGGGGCCCGATGGAACAAGGCTGTCTTGGGAGCTTGCTTTCGAGTTTGGGCCGCTCCTATTGGTGGGTCATGGTTTTGCCTACGTCGTGCTGCGTGGACCTTGTCGTCTCGTTCCTTCTCGGTGTCCTGGTCGTCGCTGGGGGTCTGGGTCCTTCGCAGTTTGCAATGCTGGCGCGACGTCTGGGATGGGGTTCTGGACATCCTGGATTGTATGTCGGACCTCCTGGCTATTGTAACTCAAGTACCTGCCATGGGATCTCGAGGCCCCTCGCGAGCTTCTCTCAGAGCCCTGGCCCCGACCACAGACATGGTAGCGCAGACGACCAGTTATCTCGGCATGTGGCTGATTGAAGTGCTTGCCAACCTTCGGAGGCTCTCTTCGATGTCTCACGCGCTGCGCACGGTCTGTCTCGCTGAGAGCACCAAGTATGTCAATCTTCTGGTCAAGCAGGACGCGCGGGCACATTGCTCGGACATCGCCAGGGATATCACTAGTGCCTGGCCTCTCAAGGAACATGCTCGAGCGTGCAGGAGGTTTAGGTCCGTGGGCGCATGTTCCAGGAAGAAAGCCAGGTCACAACCCCTTCTACTTCTCCGCGGTGATGACGGGCAACCGGTGCACTCAGAGAGAGAAGCTCTAGAGGCATGGACGCGGCATTTTGCTGCGATAGAGGCTGCCCCAGTCGTGCCGATGCAGGACTTAGATTGGTGCGCTAGCGTCCTGCCCGCTCTCCCAGCTGAGCATTTGCAGGGCGTGCACTTCGGCGTCAGAGAAGTGCCAGCGCTCGCCAGAGTGGAGAGGTCCTGCCGCAAGGCCAAATGTGCAGCAGCAGGACCGGATGGCATTTCTGGGGCTATGGTCAAGAAGCTGTTTAAACCGATCTCCCAGCTCCCCCCCCCCTTGTCGTCGAGTCTTTTTTGCGGGTCCAGGGGCCGATCCAGTGGAAGGGGGGGGGATACTACTGTCCGCTGTTCAAAGAGGGTGACCCTGGG